ATTATGCAGAAATGTCAACTCTGGGACTAAAATAAAAGCCAGTGAGAACAAATGTGTTTTAAGAAGAAACTTAAAACACCAAGAGTTGCAGCCTGAGCTGGTTCCATAGTGTAGAACATATGTGTCAAACTTAAGGCCCGGGGGCCAAATGTGGCCCTTGTTGACATGTTATCTGGCCCCCAAGATGATATATGAAATGTAAAATTTGTAAAAAAAAAAAAAAAAAAAGAAAAAAAAAAGAGAGATATGAAATAAAAAATTATTAATCTATATATGTATACATACATAAATGGTAAATGGACTGTACTTATATAGCACCTTTCTATTCTATCAAAATACTCAAAGCTAAGCATATATGCACATATACATGTATATATACATACATGCACATATACATGTATATATACATACATGCACATATACATGTATATATACATACATGCACATACGTAAGTGTCCGGAGTACCGCAGATTCACAAGGCTCTATTTTTACTGTACGGGGAGGAGTTGAACAGTCTGATGGCTTGAGAGACAAAGGACTTCCTGATTCTGTCTGTGGAGCAGGGCTGGGACAGCAGTCTGCCGCTGAAGGAGCTCCTCTGCTTCATGATGGCGCCGTGCAGAGGATGGTCATCATTGTCCATGATGGATAGCAGCTTACTGAGGGTCCTTTTCTCTGCCACTGATGTAAGGGACTCCAGCTCTGTTCCCAGCACAGAACCAGCTTTCCTCACCAGTATGTCCAGTCTCCCTGCATCTCTCCTCTTAATGCTGCCTCCCCAACACACAACAGTACAGAAGAGGACACTACCACAGACTGGTAGAACATCAGCAGTAGTATCCTGCAGATTTTGTCTTCACTAGCTCTCAAGCGAGTCGCACGCGTTCCTTCCCACTCCCTGTTTTCCTCCTGCTTTTTTTGCTCTTTGTCTGTGTATCGGAGCAGCTCCTATTTTTTACACATCTCCCGCAATGGAAACTACTATTTTGGATCTGATCAACTGGACTTTCGACGTATATTACAACTTCTTTCAACAAAGCGATAGGGTCCTGGAGAACCCTCATCTGCTCAGACAAGACGTGCAGCTGGATATATCGCAGGGGGGATGAGTCTACCTCTGGTATCGACCGAGGATGCTGAAATTTCTGATAATTGGATTTATGATAGCAGGTTTCCTGTTTTTGGAATAGTCTGGATCCTGGTTTATCAACATACAAAGAAGATGGCCGCAGCTAATTTGGACCTCGACAGGCTGCTGTCTATGTGAACATCTGGTTCATGCTGGAGGACTCAAAATCAGTTGATTTACGAGCTAAACCGTAAGTTGGAAGGGATTTGAATCGCAGGCCACCTGCAGCTTTGGGACTCGTCAGCATGAAAACACCATCTTGAAGAGGCTCGTAAGCACGGACTAGTGGAATGCACCCTAATCTGGACATTTCAGACCTTGGAAATTTATCAGTACAAACTCAAGGCTGACGGAAAATAGTCTGCCTGAATGAATCAGCACTTGTGGTTATCTGAATCTCTCCCCTGCTGGCCTTGGAATAGGCCGACTTATCAGTTTCTCCTGGGAAATGTGTAAACTAAGGAAAGCTTCGTCTATTGCAACCCCCCTCCCTTCTATCAATCAACCTTTATTTAGACGGGTAAATCCCATTGAGCCTCGAGGACTCATTTACAAGAGAGACCTGAATGGAGTATGTGTACTGGAGTACTTCTATGGAGTCTTAGTAGGACTGTGCCGGCTGACCATCATCTTATCAGGACAATGGACTATCTAGGGCTTCATGGACCACCTCGTTTGTAAATGCATATGTACGTGTTCATAAATGTTCTTTAGCTGGCAGAGTTTTTTGATGTCTTGAATCTTGCCCTGTAAGGACAAGGTGTGAAGAGATCTTTGTTGTAATGCCACTGCCCTCTCCTCATGGTTTTGTCCCCTTTTCTATCTAAAAAAAATTCTGAATGTATTCTGAATAAGAATAAGAAGGCCGCGCTTTATAGCAGCAGCTTCGTGCACTCCGTCCATCTTTCAGACGGCTGTACGTACATGTTCTGGTTGTATCTTGGTGCAATGATAATAAAGCTTATTCTGATACTGAAGGACCCAAGCCTCCTCAGGAAGTAGAGCCTGCTCCGACTCGTCTTGTAAAGGGAGTGATCGCCCACATCTGTGGAGTGGACCACCCTGGACCTCAGGACAACTAAAGACCTGATCTGTGGACCAGCACATTATGTTAATGCTTTTTTTGTTTGTGAAAAAAAAAAAAAACGAGCTGCAGAGTTCTGGTCCAGCTGCAGCTATGAGAGCCGGCCTGGCTAACACGATCACACAGAGAGTTACAGAAATCAACTTAGGAGGTAATAAAAACTTGAATCACCTGTTCAAAGTCGTTAAAAGATAAAAACTATTTTAAGTTGGATGGAAGCCTCAGCTGAAGAAAGGATCTCTTTACCACAGCACTAACCTGTTTCTCCAGGATAAAATCTGAATCAAATATCCCTCCCAAATATTTTACACAGGATTTTACTAACAGCTCCAGGCTATCTTGAGCTTTAGGAAAAGCGCTGCAGTTTCTACTGTGACTAAAAATAACAACTTTGGTTTTATTCTCATTGAAATTTAGGACATTTTAAATGTATGTATGTATGTTTTATTTATTCATTTCATTTCATCCAAACAACAAATATAATACAATTTAAAGAAAAGAAAAAAGATATACAATCACCGAAATCAAAGCTTTTACCTCAGTGAGGCAGTCAAACATGGTATAAAAAAAAGAATGACAGCAGTAGATCGGAGTGTCGTCTGCGTAGGAATAATAAACGATGTTGACACCAATCCTGAGCAGCTTTCTGCTCAGAAACAAAGGCTGGATGATGTTGAAAGCGCTGGAGAAATCAAACGCTCACTATCCAGGTGTGAGTGAGCAGCTGCAGCAGGTAGATGATGGCATCATCCACCCCCACATACTTATTTTAGAATATTGCTCTTGTTAATTCAATTACTGCAGTACTTTGTTGTCGTTCTTTCAGCTGCTCCTTTCATCAAGGGTCGCCATAGCAATCAAACTCGCACAAAAGATTTGGTAATTGTTTTATGAGGATGTTCTTCCTGACAATCTGGTCTCAAACCTACAACCTCAGGGTTATAAGACCACAACACTGACCACCTATCTACTGCAGCCCCAGTTACTGCAGTACTGAAACATTTGAACATTTCTTCTCTTTGTAGTGCTTTAGAAATTTGAGTCATTGTTAGTATCAAAGTTCTTGCTCAATAATCCAGATAGAAAAATCCAGCAAAGTTAAATTGGGTCCTCTGGGCGGTTTCTTTTTGTTGAAACATTTCTTCTTTCATCCAAAAAACTTTGAGTTAGTTGTGGCTCCTTGGACTGACAGTCTTATAAAGTAGGGCTGAACAATTAATTGCATTTGCAATAATATCGCAATATGATAAAACGAGATTTTCTAATCGCGAAGGCTGCGATTTGACTGGCCACATGATCTGGTTACGTGGTTATTATTTTGGCTATAGAAGACGTTGTGCAATGACATGTATTGTGCAGAACCTGCCTTGCCTCTCAAGGTAACATCACAAATCTTTATCAGCACTTAAAAAAACATCACAAAGCCATTTACGATGGTTGCATGGCTAGAACGCCAACGACCAGTGCTTCAACTTAAAGCAAGCAAAGTAGCAGCCGACAGGGATCACTGACCGAACTGTTGAAAGGTATTACTCCATATGAACATAATTCAAAACGGCACACAGAAGTAACTCATTAAATAACGGAGTTCATTGCGAAAGACATGATGCCCATTAGTATAGTGACCAGGCCTGGGTTTACATATTTGGTAAACACAATGGATAAGTGTCCTGATGCATGCTCAATAATCCAGATAGAAAAATCTAAAAAAGTTAAGTGTGGTCCTCTGGATGGATAAGCGGTACAGGATGCCCTCGCACACATTTTAGCCAAGTTGTTATCCCGGAGTTATACAAAAAATGCAGAGACAAAGTTGCAGCGGAGCTGAAAACAGTGGAGTTATTTGCAAATGAAACAGATTTATTGCTTGCGTTCTTTGAAAAATACATGAGAAGACATTGAAAAAGAATCTCATATTAAATCGCATTTGCAATATTGAGGTAAAAATAATCGCAATTAGAATATTTTCCTAAATCGTTTAGCCCTATTATAAATGGCACCACCTCATAATGGATCCACCAGTTTGATGGTGCTCAGATGGTTTCTGGAGTCCGCCCTCTCCCCCCGCTGACTCGTTTGAGGCAGTCATGGCCAAAGTGGTTCAAAATATCAACTAAAATGAGAATATTTGAACCACTTTAGCAATGGTTGCCTCAAACGAGTCTGGGGGGAGAGGGCTGACCCCAGAAACCATCTGAGCACCATCAAACTGGTTGACCCACTCTGTGAAGGTGCTTTTGATAAGACTGAGTTTGTTGCAGCTCCTCAGACTGATGAAGTCTTTTGGATAAAAGATGAAACGTTTCAACAAAAAGAGACTGCTCAGAGGATCTAACTTAACTTTGTTGGAGTCATTGTTAGGTTTGTTCAAACTATTCATGTTCTGTCTCCAAGTTGTCAGTCCACTAAAAAGGAGGAACGACTGGTTCGTAAGGGGTTTAAAGAGGAGGGCTGAGCAAGTAGCCAACAAATAATTACACTTGACTGCTGGATGTTTTGAACCAGAGACATCAATTGGAAAGCTTCAAATGCCTCCATGTTTTTGATTTTATTTTTTAAATAAGAAATTGGTTGTATTACTTTGGCAACTTTTTTCTTTCTTTAGACATTCTATGATAAACTGTATCTGTAAACCCTCACACTGCTGTTTTATTTTCTGCATTGTATCCTCTTGTGTGTTTCGCTGTTTTTGTCTGTTCTCTTGTCCGCTCATCATCTCTCTGCTGCTTTGCCCTCCATGCCTACCTACCCTTTATCCTCCCACACTCTTTCTTTTTTTCATGTAGATTTAAGTTTCCAGACAGCAGCTCGCATTCTCACTGCTCCCACTGTCGATGCCCTCAACGTCATGAAAGACCTCAGTCAGAACTTCCCCACCAAAGCCAGGTAAAGGTGATCTGCGCACACAAACACAAGCAGCAGCTACAGTAAGAAGTTTGAGTTCGTATAAATGTTGGCAGTTCTTTAAAGTTCAGTCTGTTCTCTTTTATTCCTCACAGGTCGATCACAAAAACAGTGGTCAACTCTGAGATCCGGAAAGAGATCGCCGAGAACCAAAAGGTAGACAATTGCATAAACTTCTTTCTACATTTAAGAATCTAGTTATCACTTCTTCCACTTGGTTTTCTAACACAATGAAACAAGTTGTCAATAAATTTTAAATCATGCATACTGGTTGACTTTATTGAATTATTTAAAGAAACACAGGATGGATTCGAAAGATCCTTGACTTTAGCAAAGGCAAAAATGGCCAGTTTTACAGATATTGAGCTAAACTTTAGTGTGGTAGTAGCTCAACACATCCTCTTAAAGCTAGGGATGCACAATATTGGATTTTTGGCGATATTCGATATGCCAATATGTTAAAACTTAATTGGCTGATAACCGATGCCAATACAGATATTTTTCCCCTAGACATACTTACAGAGACTACATAGCTTTCTCTGCTGTGGAATTAGAATGCAACATTATTCTGGATGGTCTTTATCACTTTGGCCTGCTACCAAATGCAGATGCCGAAATGGGACTGAAAATGATGTAACACTATATAAATATATATTTCATTCAACCTTTATTTAAACAGGTTAGTCCCCTTGAGCCATGAGGACTCATTTACAAGAGAGACCTGAAAAACATGTATATATGTATATATATATATGTATGTATATGTATATATGTATATATATATATATATGTATATATATATATATATATATATATATATATATATATATATATATATATATATAT